AAATTCTTGGTTGCCTACGTAACTTATCGTCAAGACTCACTGTGAAAATCAATACTCATGGAAATACTTTCAAATCAACTTTACAAATTTATCTAAAAAAAAATTAATAATTTCTCTTTAAACCATAATTTTTTTAGAATTCTCTTTGGAAGCTATTTCGATTAGTTAAATCGCGCGTAAATTTTTTAATAGTGAAATTACTCTTGGTGCAATTTAAGTAATTCGCCACGTCCTTTTTTTGACAGCCATCAATGAATCGACCGGAACGAACCGACGAAAATGGGTTGATATTTTCGCGGCATTCGGCAGCTCGAGAAGCGGCTCTTCTCCTGGTGAGGGACAAGAACGGTCGGTATTCCCTGCTTCGAGAGCCTCTTTATCTGGATCGCTGCGTCATCGCCGCCGACCCGGCATGGCAGAGCTATTTCGAAGTACAAGAACTCCTAGGAAAGGACACTTTCATTTTTAAGGTATGTGGAGTGTCTCAAGAAGTCACTTCCTCATTCACAATAATTGGACCAATTTGATAAAAATTTTGTCATCCATTCATAACTTCTTGTTTCTAATAGGGAACAAATTAAATGCACAGTAAAGACAATTAATGAATGTCTAGCAAAATTAATTAATTTAATATTCACACATTTACCAACAAAATGTTTCCGAGCAAAATCGGAATATCGCAAAGCGTTCAAAAACAAAATTGTGGTATCAAGAGCACAGTTGATTAGACTGATTACCATTTGTGCGCAGTTTCCAGTCCTTGCTAAAATCATTCTTGCGCAGGGGCCTTGCTAATACATACAGATGGTCCAAAAGTCTGGCGAAACTATCAATTTTTTGGCAAGTAAATTTATATGTGTGCAATGTCTATAAAAATGCTATTTAAAAGAAAAATTGGTTATTAATTAATTGTTTATACTTGCGAGATAAACACAGTAACAATTTTTTTTAAGTGGAAGCCTACCACAATTTTTTTTTAGACAACGAGTTTGTTACAAGAATTGTTGCTGTGCAAAAAAAATTGTAAACCTTACACTTTTTTTGTTAAAAAAATGTTTGACTTACAAGGATTAAAGAATTTTTTTGAGTGAACTACCAGTTTTTTTTGGAAATAAATTAATAAATGTTTAAGGGTTGTAAAGGAGCAATCCCCAAATATATTTTATTTTCATTAATTGTTTAAACTTTTGAGATTACTATACTAATAATTTTTTTCTTAAATAAAAACGGTTTTTTATTTATTGTTTTACAAAGATATGTTTATGCATTTTATAAATGTACAAAATTATTTATTAAAAATGTTACAACTTAAAAAAAATATTAAAAATGGTAGTTTAAATTTTTGTAAGTAAAACATTTTTTTACCAAAAAATTGTGTGGTTTACAAAAAAAAAATTAGCACAGCAACAATTCTTGTAACAAGTTCGTTATCTAAAAAAAAATGTGGTACGTTTCCATTAAAAAAAAAATGTTACATACTATGCTTATCTCGTAAGTATAATTAATTAATTAATATTCAAATTTTTTGTACGCCATTAAATTTATTTGTCAAAAAAAGAGATAGTTTCGCCAGAATAAAATCGTTTTTAGAATTCTGGACCACCCTGTATACCACCCTTCAATAACAATAATTATTCAGTACTATAAAAATAAGTACCAATAATAAATAACATTCTTGCGAAAATTCTTTAAATTTTATGTCGTTTTACTAATTTTGATTAAAGTTACTGAACGTTTATTATTTTTACGGCGCAAATTGGATTTTTTATTGAACAAATTACAATAAAATAATGTGCGTGCTTTACTTAGCATTTATTATTTTTACTGTGCAAAAATTAGTTAAATACTGGTCATTTTTATTTTATACAGGGTGTTCCATTTTTATTGTAACATTTGTGTCGAAGTTTTTAATCAGGGGCGTTCTACATTGGGGGGGTTTGGGCTGAAGTTTCTTGTTACTTTCAAAAACAAAATTTCTAAATTCCATAGTTTTTTACAAAAAAGAGGTCTTTTGCGTTTTTTCGATACAACTTACCCTTTTTGAGTAAAATCTTTTTAATATTTATGTTTCACTTGTTTTGTTGTGTTTTTTACCGAAAAAATAATGGTCAAACTTGGCCGAAAATCAAACTATTTTTGATTTTTTGAACGTTTTAGCATGTTTTTAAGATAAATACTCAAATTTTGAATAAGATTTCATCGAGACAAAATAAGAAAACACGAAATTAAATCGAAAATTATGTTATTTTTCACTTTCTCAAGTGTTTAAGAAAGTTCTTCAGCCAGAAATTTTGCAAAATTTTTCCAAACCAGTCGAAAAGTCGATAAAAATTGTGCTATTTTTGCTTTTTTAAGCTAATAAACTGTGTTTTTTCCGTTAAGTAGACCAAAACTTACTAAATTAGATCGGAAATTTTTGAACCTTTTTAGTAGAAAATTTTGTTCAAAATGGCCCTAAAATTACCAAATTAGAACGAAAATTATTCATTTTTTTAAATTTGCGTGAGTAAAAAAATGTTTTTTAGCTAAAATCTTTTTTTCTTGTAAAATTTCACTAAAATAGGCCACAAAATCACTAAACTAGATTCAAATTACCGTTCTATTTTAGTTTGTTTTACTGGATTTATTTTGGTAACCTAAATACCTAAAATTATTCACATGCAAAAAACCACCAAGTTGGTGCACGTTTTAAAACGGTTAACGTGTTTTTGAATTAAAAGATTTTGCAAAATTTTTGCAAAAAATTACCAAACTTGGTCGAAAATAACTTTCTTTTTGATTTTTTCAGTTAAGAAATGCACTTTTCCTTTGCGATATTTTGCTCAAGTAAGCCGAAATCTCCTAATTAGATACAAAATGGTGTTTTTTGCGTATTTTTGAGTAAAAATCTCAATTGTTTTTGATGCCCAAAGTGCCAAAAAATTAATTAGGCAAAATATTGTATTAATTCCATTTATTTTCAGGCGAATAAAGAGCCAAAACTGTTTTTTTTTCACAAAATTTTGCTAAAATACGGAAACGAAATTAGTTGTGCCTTTTTCAAGTAAAATTTTACCCAAATGGGCCAAAAAATTTGCAAATTAAGTTGAAAATGGTATATTGTTTGGTATTAAAAGAACTGTAACTATTTTTGCTAAAGTTTCTTGCCACTTTCAGCAACAAAATTTTAAATTCCATAGTTTTTCACAAAAAAGAATTCTTTTACGTTTTTTCGATGCAACCCCATTAAAAACGTACCCCTTTCAGAGGGTTTAGCTCTTTTGTTTTGATACATGGTTATAGGAAACTTTTGTCTTAAAATTGAATATTCAAATTTGTAACAATAATAACGGAACATCCTGTACTGAATTATTTACTGATTGTTTTATTACTACCCTTTCTAATTGTAGGCTGAAGACGAGGAGCAAACGAAAATCTGGTATAGTCAATTACAGTTTCACGCCCAAGGAATGGGAGCTTGGAGGAAACGACGTAATGCCCTAGCCAATATAATGATAAATGGCATGGGCTTAAGGTCTTAATCGACGTACTTACTGAAAATAAAGATTTAATGAGCTTTAAGTCATTATTCGAATGTTTCCTGTAATTTGTACTTGATCGATATAGATAGATAATTTTATTGTTTCTTTTTGTAAATATTTAGTAATTTAGCTGTGATATTTTCTGGATGAGGTTACTGGGATTCAATTTATTTCACAAATATTAATAATATGCTTGATGACCATATTTGTGGTTATTGTAACTTTATACGACTTTATATTAATCATTGTAAAAAAATGTAATTAAATAAAAATAAATAAAGAATTTAAAAAATACGGGATGCTTTTTATTTTAAATGTTCACATTTGGTGTTACTACGATAAATGGAAATAAATGGGAACTTAACTCATTTGCACCAGATGGAGGTAACGACATAATTTATATTTTTGCCAGATATCTACAAACTGTTCGCACCCTATTTTCAACAGGTTGATCATAGTTTAATGGCACTGCCATTAATTTTTATATTTTTATAAAATCACACAATTAAAAAACTCAAAAAATATTAAACAAAAAAAGTTAAATTGGAAATAGTAGATTACATGCCTAGGTGGGAAGTGCTTCATAACCAAGGCACGGTTGCAATAAGCCGAGGTACGATAAAGCAACGACCATCAAGGTTTGTATACTATTTTATTCACAATCATCCTTAAAAAACATAAAGCCAATAAATTGTAAGAAAACATAACATATAACGTTTCAGTTTTGGGGTTGGGAAGTGGCCATTTCCCAACCTACACCTGATATTTCCTATCAATTCTTAAATGATTATTACTTTATGATTGGGAATAACATATTTATACAGGGTGAATATAAAGGATAGTACCAAGCAAGTTTTTTTAAATCATTTGCCTCCAGAAAATAATAATTAATATAAATTAATATAATATACAAAATGTGAGCGTACTTTGATAACGAAATTTTGTTTTGTTTTTAAATTATGCGATTTTTTGTCAAAAAAAAAAAATATAAAATAGTTAGTTGTAATCTAGGTCATAACTTTCATAAGAAAAATGTTTTAATAGTGGGTTGCCATTCAAAAAAATAAAAACCAAAAAAAAAATTTAAAAACTTTATTCTTGATAAAACATCACATTTTTATAGTTCTTTATCATTCATCAATTAGTTTTAAGCAAAAAACGTTTGGTTTCTTCACCTGTCTAATTTTCTACTCCTACATTACAAACACATTACGTTTATTATTTTTTTTAAATCCTGTTTATCTTTCTTTGTGAGTAGCTTACTTCTTATTAAAAAAAAACATTTTTTGTAATAATTATTTTCAGCAAACTTGATGCTGGATACAAGAACTCCTTACTTTATGTACACACAAAAAGTTTGAACTTATAGACAGAGTCTGAGTTTCTAGTTTTCCAATTATTTTTGCTTGCAAGAATTTTATTTTGAATAAGTCTAAGTAAGGCTTTTGCTACAAAGTTCATTTATTAATTCCGAAAATAATTATAAAACTGTGGTTTTTGGGTGAAAATGTTTACATAAAAAAATATTGCTATAAACACATGATATTTATATAAATAGGTAGACATTAATGCAGACTGTAGGACGTCGAACTTCAGCTTATGACTCTGGGTTTAATTATAACTTCCACCAGATTACTTACATTTCAGCGGCAGTGGGTTAGCAATGGACTGCAACAGAAAATAGATTAGTAGTGCCAAATGTGGCTAATTCTGGCTTCAATTAAGGCTCGCAATCAAACTTTTAATAGATCTGATACACCAAGCACTAAAAGTCTTTACTTACATTTCTGTTTTATTTTTTTGTGGCAAATTCATTTATTTATTCCACTGTCAGTTTTAATTAGTCACTAAAAATAACCATCCCACGCTCAATTTGAACCTATTACCAGTATTACCACTGTTTATTTTTGAATTCTGACTCAAGTTACTCGGATTGTTTCTTTTAACCTCAATAATTAATAAGAAAGATCTACATAAAAATACAAACATCTGCTGCATTTGTCATTCATGACGGCTAACACAATTACTCAGCATTCCCTGCTTGCTAACGAGTAGATTAAATTATCGCGTCTTCTTCAAAGAGCTGCATTTCTTTTAATTTGTTGGTCAAGGTTTTAGATTTTAGATAAAGGCGACTGAAAGAGTATCGCATTCAAGAAATTCCAGTCTCCACTGTTCCTAAAACTCGTTTTTGAGCCAAATTTTGCAAAAAAATTCAAAGCAAATTTGGAAAAAATGATTTTGATGTGTAGAAAACAGCGAGTTGAAAAAGTCCATTAGCGACGTTGATAGATAATTAGAATTAGAAATTATTTTTGACTATACAGCGTGTCTCAAAAATAAGTTACAATACAAACTTGTGTTTTTCTCGTAGCGTTTTTGGATGTAGATTTTTATGAGAATGTTTTTAAGCTAAACTTTTATTGGTCGATGTTGCTTAGTTTTAAAAATAAGACGGTTTTTTGACGAAAACATACACTTTTTAAAAATTTATTACACCAAAACTAAAACATCTAAAAAAAAATTTTTTACTCCCAACTAGTATTTTTGTGGTAGCTACGTAATGTTCACTTTTTGCGGAACTTCAAAATAAATTACTACGATAAATTAATAAATAGTTTTATCTGGTATTCCATAATGTCCAACAGTATTTCCTATCTCTATTCTCTAGCAATAGATACCAGTAATATAGTTCTACCAAGTATAAACAAAGTCAAAAAGATGTCAAAATATTAAAATCAACTCAAGTTTTCTGATAAACATTCCGAAAAAACTTGCATAAAACAGAACAAAATTCGAATCATTAATCAAAGAAACAAATTTTTTTTCAGATATTAATGGAGTATATTTAAACATTTTAAAGCTATTTTTGTGCTTCTATTTGCCAGTAGTGCCATTTATACCTTTAATATTCAAGTTATTCTTAAAGAAAACATAATAAAGCACTTTTTTAAATTTCATTATATATTATTACTGCACATTTGGAAGCTTTAACAATTTGGCGTATTTGATGAAAATTACTTTGTAGTCGTTATTCCTTGTTAAAGTATGTTTGAAGAAAAAAGTACTTAGGAAGAAGCAACCACTAATATGCAAAATAACGATAATTCCAACCAAAAAGTAACTTTTACTAAGTAGTTGTCAAACAATAAATTCAACTACAAAGTAATTTTACTAAATGGCTGCCTTACTTTAAGTACGTAAAATGAAGTAGCAAAAACGTTATTCTGACATCTTTCACTACAAAGTTATAAAAAGTTATAAAAACTTATAAGTAACATTTTAGTTAGACTTTTAAGTAAAAGTAACTTAAAAGTAATTTATTAGAGTTTAGTTTTCAATCCCAAAAAAGGTACTACCTACAAAGTTGCAGAACTCTATCGTTTTCAAAACGCTAAAACATGCGTACTTTTTACTAAAATTGTGGTTTATAAAGTAAAAATTACTTAATAGTCCAAAAAAATGACGCAGTTACGATAAATGTACTCAGACAAAGCTAATGTTGTAACATTTTTTTATTGTATTGCATTTGCAATGATAAAAAAATGAAGGATTTGCTAAAAGTTCAATAACTTAAAAAATTTAAATAAAACACTCTATTTATTGTTTTTGCTTGTAAAAGATTATTAAATTGTCTTTCTAAAATTATTTACTTTTTTAGGTGTTTATAATCAATAAATAAAAAGATATTTAACGTTAAACATTAAAAAAAATAATTACTATTGTTTCAGTAGCCAAAAAGTGCACAGTTGCATAAGAGATGGAAGAAATATCACTTAATAATTACATTTTTGTTGAACTAAATCCATTATTTTTTTATTTTTGCAATAAAATAATTTGAATATCAGTATTTATAACGGCTTTTTCAATCTCTGGATAAATCAACGGATAAGTAATGCGTGGTGGAATTACTATTATTGCCATAGTATTAACAATGCCCAGATATTGATAGGCATTGTTGCCACAATTAATATTAAATGTTGAATATCTTTTTATCTATCAATTCTAGACATTAAAAGTTTATTTTTTTAGATAGACAATTTATCAATCTACTAGATGCAAAAATAAAAAATAGGGTGTTCCATTTAAATTTTTTAAGTTATTTAACTTTTAACAAACTTCTTAATTTATTAATCTTTACAAATGCAAAAGACTAAAAAATTGCTACTGCTTTAAATTCTGTACTTTCTTCTTTGCAGAAGTAAGAAAAGATTTGTTTTAGCTGTCTTAGTTTTTATGTAATAAATTTTTATAAAGTCCATGTTTTCGTCAAAAAACGTCTTATTTCTAAAATTAAGCGAAATCGACTAATAAAAGTTTAGCGTAAAAATATTGTTTTAAAAGGCTACATCCAAAATGCAAAGAGACATACGTTGTTTCATTAAAAAAACACAAGTAATTATTTTTGGGACATGCTGTATTGTTGAAAATAATTTTAGGTAATGCACTAGATTAGTATCAATCAATGTACTATATAATTTTTTTAAATTTTACCATTAAAAGTCACTAATGGACTTTTTTAAGTTGCTGGGATATCCTGTACATATTGAAGTCTACTTTCTGTAATAATTAACTAACATTGCTTAAGAATTGTGTTTTTGAATGAGATACGAAATGTGTGCTAATGATTTGATTAATTAGCCTCGTATTACTACCTTCATTCATAATAAACCTGTTGCGGTGGGTTAATAAGCAATTCATCCTTTCTACTCAGCAGTCTAGACAGACAATGATTATATGTTAAGAGTTACCACAAATACATTGTTTCTGTGTGGTCGATATCAAGAGTCATCACCTCATTAAAATATAATCCATCTCAAATAGCCTCCACAACTCCGATAAATCACAACTTTAAAGAACAAGTTTTATACTGTGGTTTTATCGGAAGAAAGGGTTTAAAAGGACATAAATATCTCGGAATGACGTACAACTTGTCTAAATTAAAAGTCATTAAGTATTATCACAAATTATTTATTAAGTGTTAATCCTAACATAATTTATGAAACGCCGTAAAATGTTCGGAGGAAAAACTTTGTAACTGATATTTTACGGCCGGTGACAAAGAAGGGGAAGTTATGTCGAATTAACATTAGTCAGAATTTTGATTTGTAGGTTTTATAGGGGATTATAAACATATTTAGAGTTTAATGTAATTTTTACTACTTGAATGCAATTATGCTACAATGTAGTTTTTATTTTTATTTGGAAAGATAAAGTAGATTAGATTTTCTGTTAAAAACAAATAAGCAACAATTTGCAAAATATTTGTACGTTGCTACTATTTTATGTAAGCG